GCCTCGGCCGAGGAGGGCAGGGCCGCCGAGCCCGCGGGCGCCCCCGACTCCGCACCCAGGCACCCCCGAGAGTTCAGGGCCACGCTGCGGAAGCTCTTCAGCTCCCACAGGTTTCAGGTAGGTGGGCAGAGGCCGGCGACGCCTGGGGTGGGGCAGAGCCGTCAGCTGAGAGTCACGAGGCCGGGTGGGGGGCGGCTCTGCCACCGCCTCATTCACTGTGCAGGTGTCCCCCGAGCACTGACCACGTGCCAGGCGCCTGGGTACACAGGGCAGGTCCCGTGTTGTCAGGGATCAAGTCATGACCCAAAGGCCCGTCATCTGATGAGTAGATAAACAAAATGTGATAGAGCCACGCGATGGAATATTATTCAGCCGCGAACAAGAGTGAGGCACTGACTCCGGCTACCACGCGGATGGCCTTGGGAACATGATGCTGAGTGAGAGAAGCCAGGCACAGGCGGCCACGTAGTGTGTGATTCCATTTATGTGAAATGTCCAGAACAGGCAAATCCATAGACACAGAAAGCGGAGCGGTGGTTGTCACGGGCTGGAGGGACGGAAGGATGAGTGGTGACTGCGTCATGGATACAGGGCTCCCGTCTGGGGTGGTGCACATGTTCTGGAACTGCGTAGTGGCGATGGTGCCACAGCCTTGGGAATAGACTTAATGCTGCTGAACTTTATGCCAAGTTTAAAGTGGTTAACAGGGTACATTTTATGTTATGCAAATTTAACCACACACACACACACAAAGTAAATTAAAGGGTAAACATTGGAGGCAGGGAAAAACCGTTCCTGAGGTTATTCAGCAAGCACTGTGTGCCAGCCCTGAGTTATCAGGGCCCAGAGGGTCCCGTGCCTTACTGACTCAGCGCCTGGGGGCCTCGGTCTCCTCTTTTGTGGGCTGATGCCAAAAGCATCTGCCAGGCTTGACACGCTGCCAACTTCCAGGTGTGGTTTTGGGGAGAACGTGAGAGGGAGACATGGGCTTCAAAGAATAGCAAAGGGTCGAAGCCTTCTACAGAGTTTGGGATCTGTCCCAGCATCTTCTGACTTTGCAGGATGCACGAAGGTGGAGCCTGGCCAGCCCTCTGAGCCCCACCCCCCAGCCCTCAGGCGGGCAGGCAGGTGTCCAGGGCAGGTCTGAGTCCCAGGAGAATGCAAGAGCCCAGGGGCGTTGGGGAACCCCAAAGCCCCTTGTCAGCCAGTTGCCAAAAGGAGCCATTTGCGGGAACTCTGGACCCAAATAATCCAGTTCCTACCAAGAGCCAGTGTCCCTTCTGGAAGCACAGAGAAGCAGCCCTTGCCTCTCTCATCACTGACTCTGTTCCAGGGAAAATGGAAAAACTTTTATTTTATTGGGTTTTGGTTTTTTTTTGCTTTCATGTGGCTTAGAGGAAGAATGCAGGCCTGGGAGCCCGGCACAGTGCTTTCCTCTGCGGCTGTGACAGAAAGGGAAACGTGGTATTAAGTTGTTGGGGTTGAAATCCCAAACCCTCAATTTCAGGAGCAGAAGGAAGGAGCCAGCTTCCTTCCAGCTGCAAGGAGAGCTGTGGACCATCCCCTTCTGGGAGGTGGTTTCTCAGCACCTGTGTGCGAGGCGGGGGGTGGGGAGGGTGTCAGCGGTAGGCATGGTGGACAGGTCCCTGTCCTCACTCATGGAGCTTCCATGCTCAGCAGAGGCAGCCATTCCAGAAACCACTAGACAGACACTGGTTACTAGTGTGGAGAAGCCCTCTGCAGGGAAACAGAAAGGGAATCTGAGAGGCCCCGGGGTGGGGGAGACCTGTCTGGGATGGGGAGGCCGAGGAGGACCTGGAGGAGGTGACATTTCCCCTAACACTGGCGACCTCTTGGTGCCTGGGAAGACACTCAACCAACTGAGCCACACCAGCCGGGCCCAAGACGTTTTTATTAGGTATTTCTTTGCCATCTAGGAATTAGCAGTTTGGTCTGAGAGATGCTGGGAAGCAGTGCGCGAGGAAGAAAAAGACAAGTAGCGATGGCGGGTCAGTGAGCGAGCTGTCCCCAGATGCCCTGGTCCAGGCGCTGCCGTGAATAGGCTGGGAAGGCGGCGGGAGGAGGGGCTGGCCCCCGTCGGGCTCCCCGCAGGGTGCTCAGGCTGTGGTCAGCAGCCTCGCATCCTTGGCATTTTCCCCTGGTGGTTTCATCCAGATGTTTCCACACCAGCCCTTGAGAGATGGAAGGCGGGTCTCCATTGAGGTCTCCTGGTGTCTCACTGCTCCCCTCGGTCCGCAGGTCATCATCATTTGCCTGGTTGTCCTGGACGCCCTCCTGGTGCTGGCCGAGCTCATCCTGGACCTGAAGATCATCCAGCCCGACAAGAACAACTACGCCGCCCGGGTAGAGTGTCAGCAGCCCTTTGATATGGTTCACATCTGGTGTCCGCACTGAGGGGGTCCGAGTGGGGTGGATAGCACCCGCCTTGAGGCTCACGAGGGCAGTCTGGTGCTTTTAGTCTAGGGCAGAGGAAATGTCTTCCTTTCTAAGTTATAGATCAGCATTTACTACAAGCAGGAAACTCTCCTTTCACCTGATGGCTGTCCTAGACCTCTGAGCGGGAGCGAGTCTCCGATTCCAGAAGGGGGCGGGGGTCTGGCCAGGAGAATGATACTGTCCCGTCCCCCTAGAGGCAGACCCGCTAGTGCCCCTGTAGGCGTCCTGATGGGGTCCCTAGGCTGGAGCCATCGGGGGATGTAACGCCGTTTACTCCCGGATTCACGCTTCCGGCCGAGTTCCTCCCAGACATTCGTCCAAGGCTTTGCTACAAGACTTGGGGCCGAGTTGCCCACATCAAAGCCCAATAAGATGCGAACCAGGTTTTGCAGCCAAGAAAGTAAGGATTTATTAAGGGGGTCGCAGGTGAGCTGCTGTTCAGAAGACCTGGTTCCCCCGTGGCATCCAGGGGATGGACTTTATAGGGAAAAAGTCATTGATCACGGTGACTAAAGGAGTCAGGGTCGTGGTCTCTGCTGACTGGTTGGCGCTAGGGAAGGGGGTAGTTGATCATGGTATCTGGTCCCGATGTCCGCCATGGCGTCGTCCTGTCTGATTTTGCAAGGATGTGTTTGGTGGGATCCCTCTGCTTTCCTGGGAGCTGAGGCCAAGATGCTTTCTTTAGTTTGAAAACTCGGCCTCACTAGTGCATAGCCCCAGGCCCTTGCTCCTAACACTACTGGATGCTGACCAGAACCTCACTGTCCCGAGGGCTTCATGATTAAGCAAAAGACAGGGAGGTGGGTGAGTCAGGTGGCTGGGCGAGGCCAGTTTGAGTCAAAGGAAAAAAAAAAATCAAAAGAAAAGACCAAATTAAAGGAAGTAAGGTTTCCGTTGGGTACAGCATCTCTGTGCCAGTAGGCATGGTGAATGTTTTCAGTTCTGCCATCGCCCAGCTGTCCTTCCGAGAGCAGAGCGGAGCCGTCTAGGGCGTCCGGCTGTTACCTGCCCGGTGCTGGCACGGGCTCGGGGCCGGTGGGCGAGTGGGTCTCCGGCGGCCTGGCAGGCGCGCTCAGGCCAGCTGGCCGGGGCGCTGCCCTCACTGTGCCCCCTCGCCCTCAGGTGTTCCACTGCATGAGCATTGCCATCCTGGCCTTCTTTATGATAGAGGTCTTCTTTAAAATCTTCGTTTTCCGCTTGGAGTTCTTCCACCACAAGTTCGAGATCCTGGACTCTGTGGTCGTCGTGGTCTCCTTCGTCCTTGACATTGTCCTCCTGTTCCGGGAGCATGAGTTCGAGGCTCTTGGGCTGCTCATTCTGCTCCGGCTGTGGCGGGTGGCCCGGATCATCAACGGTACGTCCCCTGGCTCCCGGGCTGCGGAGCAGAGAGGAGGGTGGGCGGGCCCGGGGTGGGCACAGAGGCCGCGGGCCAGGGTTTCCATCTCCGTCTCCTCCCCCTGCCTGTGGGGGAGCGTGAAGCGGTCAGACCTGGCGTCCCTCCGCCTCTGTGGCTAAGAATCGGCGCCCAGACAGGCTCTGAGAGGAACTGCCTTTCTCCTTTAGGCCGTTTCCATGGTTGTTGGATGTTTACGGAAAGGGTTAGACTAATCCCTGAAGAGAATTTTATCAGACCCTATCCCACCTTGCGGGGGTCCATCCAAAAGGGGTGCAAAGAAGCTGAAAAATGATTTACACTAGATCCCACCCCCTTTGAGAGAAGCACAACACGTGTTAGTGTGATGAAGGCTCTGAGGACTGTAATATTGTCCAAATTGACCAGTTTACACTTTCTGGGGAGGTAACACTGTTCACATGCGGTAGCCTTTGGCTCTGGAGTTCACAATTGGGGTAATACTGCTTATTTCAGGTAAAAATCCAATGCCTTGCACACCCTGTTTGTACGGGAGTCCTGTCTCAGAGAAGCCATGTTGCTGCTGTGATTTATTTTTATTGATTTGAGAGAGGGGGAAACGTCGATGTGAGAGAGACATTGATTGGGTGCCTCCCGCACATGCCCGACCAGGGCGGGATCGAACCAGCAACCCAGGTACACGCCCTTGACTGGGCCTCGACCCCGAGACCCTTCGGTGCACGAGCCGACTCTAACCACGGCGCCACACGACCGGGCAGCACCTTTGTGCTTTTGCGCACACGGCTGCTGGGCAGTGCTGTCGTGAGCAAGCTCTGTGGTAAGGAGCTTAACTTAGGCTCACTGCTCAATGATTATTTTTAAGGATTTTTCAGCCCATGGGAACTGAAGAGAAACATTTCACACCTAGGTGCCAAGTAGCTCAGAAATGAAATCCATTTCCACTCGTCTGTCACCGCTCTTCCCAACTGTATACGTTTTTAAGTAACACAGATATTTTTTTCTAGTGGTTAAATTAGAAACCAATATCATTAAGACCCTCAATTATTTTTCAGGCATAATTATCTCGGTTAAGACACGTTCAGAACGGCAACTGTTGAGGTTGAAACAGATAAATCTACAGTTGGCCACCAAGATCCAGCACCTTGAGTTCAGCTGCACTGAGAAGGTAAGAAAGCACTTCCGGGGATGTCAGCTGTGTGCGGTGGCCCACCTTCAGCACAGCGCTGCTCACACCAGGCCTTCGCTCAGGTGGTGCCCTGAGCCAGGAGCGTCCCTCCCCTTGGCCCAGTCTCCCTCGCCCTTTCAGAGACGGCTCAGGCATTGCCCCCTTCCCAGAGCTGTGCCAGGTGCCCCCCCTCTTGTCACTGCTACTGTCCATTGGACCCCATCTGACTGTAGCAGTCGCCCTCAGTGGAACAATTCCACAAGCTCCAGAGCTTTCCTTCAGCGCTGGGCCCCTACACCTGGGGCTCACTGATTGTTGGTCACATCTCTGGTGAGGCTCAGGAGGTAAATTCACATATTTGTCTGCTTTTGTAACGACAGGAACAAGAAATTGAAAGACTTAACAAGCTACTGAGACAGCATGGACTTCTTGGGGAGGGGAAATAGAGGCACCCCTGCTCCACTCCAAAGAGAAGACCTCGCCCCGCGGTTCGTGCCTGCGGACATGACCGCCGCCTCTCCCAGGGCCGGGCTGTCTGCAGGACGGGTTTGGTGTGATGCCTTTGCCTGCCCCCACCCAGATGGGTTCTGGAGGGCCAGTCTTTGGAAGGCTCTGTCTCTGCCTTGGAGTGACTGAGAGCTTCCTGTCCCATTCCCACCCGTCCTGGGTCACCAATGTATCAAACGCTGTTTTCTCATGTTGAACACTTTACTCTTGCTTGAAAATGTACAATGAGGCTGGACAGTGACTAGCTGTATATAAAATTTAATCTCATCAAATGTACAGTTTTCACGTTCCGCATGGATACTGAGGCAGCCTTTCATTTGAGCGCCCTGGAAGAAAACAAAAAGGAAGGTCCTTTAGCCAGCAGCCCGTTCGGGAAAGGCCTCTTCTGTCTCCAAGCTGTTCTGACCCGCTCGTCTTAGGGAGCATGTCCTCGGGCCCAGCCCCTCCTCCGCGTCACACAGCTGCCGGTGGCTCCACCTGCTTCCGCCCCCTGGCAGCAGCTTTCCCGGTTACTGTACAATTAGTGTATAAAATAAATGCTCCCCTTCCTCCGGGCCCCCCGCTACATTCTCTCCGGCTCAGCTGCTTGGAGCCGCTCTGTGGCACCCCACGCCAGCCCGCCAGCTGGAGAGCTAGCTAGCGGCAGTGCCTGGTGCAGAAATGCCAGTCGGACCCAAGACTCCACTGTAATTAACATGACATTTGGGGGAAGATCCCCTCCTGAGGCCTTGTATTCTCCTTCCATGATCTTATACAACAGTTCGCTATTTTTGTACTCATTTCAATGGGGCCTGAAAAGGAGAGAAAACCTGAACTAAAAACGATGACTATTTTAACAGTAACTCATTAAAACAGGGATGAGTAAATAGATAAGCCCCCAATGCCTGTGCTCCTTCAAAGTCTGTTCTCTTTACCGTCTTCCCAAAGGTGCAACTTGGTTTCCACACACGGTCTGTGTGTTGAGTGCTCTGGGAATGACCAAGATCGGATGGTCCCCATTCTAAAGTCAAACCAAGTAGAATAAAATTTCCAAAAGGAGGGAAGTGAGTGAGGAGGGGACGTGTGCAGGTTTGGGTTAGAAGCGTAATAAAATGGGATGTTTCTGAGGGGCCCCGCACCCACTCTGTTCTAGAGGTGTAGCCTCGTTTCCTTAATTAATGACTTACGTCAAACAAACGGGAAGAAGAAATTGAAGGGCAGCCTGGCGTTGATGCTTGGCCGAGCCCTGAAGCCCGCCTCTGCAGGTGCAGACACATCCACAAAAGTAACCGTGGTGGAGATAAGAATTGTCCTTTCACTTCCCGAGTCGGCCTGTAATAAAGCGAGAGTGATGCAGCCTTGCCCCCAGCGTGCTGCCAGGAAAACAGAAGGGACGCCCTCCGGCTCGTCCCCGCCGACCACCGGTCAGCTCGTGGTCTGGCAGGCACGTGGATGAGAGAGTTTCTACCAGGCTGTCCTAACTAGCACATCAGTGTCAGTCACAACTCGATTTTCACTGAGAATTGTAGGGATCAAGGCTAAACAAGAACACTCCTGTGAATAAACCATGGTCTCTGGAGGTGCTCTAAGTGTAAGATGGCGACTGCTACCCTGTTTTAGGAATCCAGATGGTTTGGGTTTTAATTATAATCTTTTTCACAAAGTAATAAATTTTACTACCGCACTTGAGTTTTGTCTGGACTTGTGTCTTAGCGCCTGTACCCTGAACTAAAGTCAGGCCCACCTCGGGAAAGGATGAGGAGAGGAGACTTGCAGTGACACCGACGATCTTCGCCTGCGGGTTCAGCAAGGACCCGTATTTGGTCCACTTCACGTCTATAGCCAAAGCCACCGGCAGCTGGCAAGAACCCTGCAAACAAAATGCCACGATTAATCAGCTTGGCTGTTACACAACCTCAGGTTCAAACTTAATCTGCAGCTCAGGGTTTTAATTATAAAATGTTTCACGTTACAAAATGTTCTGAACAAGAGAATGAATAGACTCTCGAGGTTCAGATGAAAACTGCTTAGAGGAAGCACATAGTTTAAAGTACTCAGTGCTCCGAAAATGTTTTAACACCTGAAGCTCAGTTTTTCCACTCCCTCCAAGTCCTCCTGTTTCTAAAGAGGCCAGCGTTACCGGGGAGCTGTAAGCCCAAAACCCATCCGTAGAACCTTCGGGGCCTTGCCTGCGCTAACTTCCCCTCCCTGTTGACATGGACCTCAGAGACACCTTAGGAGAGGAACTGGCACTGGGTGGGAGGAGAAAGGGGACGGTATTACTAATAGACACTGAACCTCATTGCATATCACGTTAAAATGCACTTACAGGAAATTTAAGTGCCGTCTTTTCATTTATCTGATTTCATCAATTGGCAATGAAGGTGTTACACTGGGGTACACGGGTGGAACCTGTAAGTTGTCAAAGATACTGCCAACTCTCCACGGAACCGCGAGCACCGGGGCCATGATCAAGCTGCCCGGTTCGGTTTGGACGCCATGGGAGCTGGGCCTGAGGCCTCTGACCCAGGGCCTTTGCTTGGTCAGCCCAAGGGGAAGGTGGTTTGAAAAATTTCCACAATAACAGGTTTAAAAAACACATTTCTTCAAGGCATGAAAAGCCAGCAGGCCTGCTAAATTTGGTGCCTTGCCAAAAAGGCACTGGTGGGATCCTTAGCTTGGAACTGCCTCTTAAGCCATTTGCAGGCTGAGAGATCCTCGGATATCCTGTTATTAGGAGGAGAGGCAACAAACAGCTGGTATAACGGAGCTTAGCAGATGCTCTCACGGCTGCTCCCTGGGTTTCCTGGAAGGTTGGCGCAAAACCCACCCCAGGCCCTGAGCCCCCCGGACCAGCACAGACCCTGGCAATGCTCAAGTCCTCATTGCCCCCTCTCCTGCCAGCCTGTTCTCCCTTCTGAGGAGAAAGTAATGACTGGATGTCCTAACCCATCTCCAAGAAGCCAGAAGCAATTTGCCTGGTTCACTGAGGCGGCAGAGCTGAGCCAAGACGTAGCAGCTGAGCAGCCTCTGGTGGGAAGGGTGGGATCGGAGCTAGCGAGCTGGTCCTCACCCCCTCGGTCCCTGTGCTATAAATATGCTCAGCGGATAATGAAAGGCCTGGGGAAACTGTGACAAGAAAGAGCTGGGCAACTGGAGGGTGCAGGGAGGGCAAGCCTCGGTGACGGGGCAGCCCACACTGACGCTGAGACAAAAGAGGGAGGTGGGCAGAAGAATCACGTGATCAGGAACCTATTTGTAGGATGTCAACTTCCATTAAACTCTTGGGAACTTCTGAACTGAAAGCTCTCGCACGTGGGCCGCCTCCACAGACCAGGGAACAGTGGGCGGGACAGCTCTGGGGGTGAGAGGGTGTCTCAGTCTTTTTGAGACAGTCCTCACACCCGTCTCATGTCTCAGGGCCTAGGGGCCTCCTGTCACACCAACAGCGACAGTAGGAATGGTCAGGATGGTGACCAGTAGCGGTTGCCGTTTATGGAGTGACCGCTAGACACCATGAACGTTACTTCATTAACTCAACAGTCCCACGAGATCGGAACCGTAACCGTCATTCCCACGCCACAGGGGAGGAAAGAGGCCCAGACCCACAAAGTCAGTGGCCAAAGGCCACAGTGTTAACAAGGGGCAAAACCCGTATCCAAGGTCCAGGCCTGTCTCATAAGGAAGCCCCAGCTCCCGCCCACAGCCATCTCCGCCCATGGGGGGCAGGCGGAAGAAGAGGTGGCCAGCCCGTGGCTTTCGGCTTCTCCCCTTTACCTTCACGTAGGGTGCCTGGGTGACTACGTGGACAGGCACCCAGTCCTGCACATCCCGGGCCTGGGAATTCCCAAAGGGGGCCACGTAATCTGGGAAGCCCTGGCCCTTCAGCAGGCTCTTCACCTTCTCCACGACAAGCGGGCACGTGACGGCTCTGGTCAGCCTTTGGGAAGGAAAGGGGTCACTCGAATGAGGCCGTTGCTCACACCGGGAGTTTCTACAGGCTCGACAGCATGCCTGCCCTCTCGCTTGTTCTCACTCCCCACACGGTGGACCGTTTAAAAGCAGCCCCGGTGTCTCTAACTTGGAGGAATCTTCACTGGCCAGGGAGATGAATCCAAAACCGTGTTTCCCAGACGGGGTTCCATCGAGAGGCTCTGTACAAGAGGTGCTGCAGGGCCAGAGGTCTGGGCAATATTGCATACCCGAAGACACTGGCCTGTTAAAGGCTCTGGGGAGTCCTACAGTAGGAATCATGTTTTTAAAACATACTGAACCACAGACCTACCCCTAGTGACACCTTGTGGAAAAGCCGGTCTAACGTGATCAGAATAGTGTAAATGGTGCATATTGGTCTAACCAAAATAATGACAGATTCACCCTGGGGAGATGGAGGGGCGGGAAGGCAGGATGGGGGGGCAGGACAGGAAGGGGGAAAGAGCCAGGTTTCCGTCTTCCATAGCAGGAACTCAGGAAACAACCTACAAACCTAAAATATCAAGCAGCAGCATTATATGCAGGCTATTGAAAGATTTGGGGGTAAATTTCCAAAAACTGAGCTACAAGAGTTAAAAACGATTGCCTCTGGGGCGGGACAAGTGAGGGTAACAACTGTTTTTATAACAAACCACGGAGAGCTATTTGACATTTTACATGACACGCATGTTTGAGCATAAAAGGGTAAATGAAAAGCAGACCACGTTCAGGCTTTCTCTTACTGGGTTTGTTGTGTTGTGTGTAGTACATTAAAATTCAGGACATAGGAAGGACTTTCAGGGAAAGGACGTTTGCTGAGAACATCCTTTCCCTGAAAGTGCTATGCAACCTTAAAAACAAAACGTGCAGAGCCCTGAGGTTTTTTCTCTGCCCTATTTGACTTTACAAATGGTTGTAAGTTTCCCTTTGAACCATGACACACGGTTTATGGCTCTGAGAATTAAAATTAGAAGTTAAAAAACTGTATTATAAAGGCATTGTCATAATAAAGTGGTTGTGGCTTATTACGGGCACTCGTCAGCCGATGCGGATTCCGATTGCCACGGGGAGGGGAGAGATGTTTTATTTTCTGATTAACACAAGCAAGTTCCATCAGAAACGAGTTACTCCCTTACCTTAGTTTACAGCCAGACTGCATATTGTAACCAAATAACACTGGAGTCCGGATCCCCTCTATGGCCAAGCAGTCCTGCTCGGCTGTGCTACGAAGAACAGTAAGTTGTCCGTATCTATTCGTGGTCTGAATAATCCCAGACATTCATGGGAAGTTAAGGGAGAACCTTACCCAGGACGACAGCAGCCTGATTCTCAGGAAACAGTGGCACATGTGACACGAGACACAAGTGAGACCCAAATACCTCTCCTCTGGGCCTCTGGTACTTTGACAGCTATTCCCCAGGAGACAGTACAACACTTATAACTATTTTCCTTGATTAGTGATCCTCAGAAGAAAAAAATCTTCAGAAACTGGCCCTTCAAAATTAATTCCAAATTTTCAAAAATCGCTTACATTTGTTTGATTCTCTGTGAAATGAAATACATCTAAATGTCTGTCAGCTTTTCAGTGATAAGATTTTCATTATAAAACACTGACATTTTCCTGGGTCATGCTGTTTCATCCCCAACCTCCAGTCCCCAAGGAGCCCCACTTGCTGTGCGGCCAGAACCACCCCTCGCCAGAGCCACCCAGAGGAAGCTCTGGCTGAGATGGGTCCCCCAGCCCACAGGACCCTCGGTGGTAGAGACGCGCGGCTCACGCACGTGGACGGCGAAATCGACCTTCTCCATGGAACCAGAAAGGATACCCTTTGTGAGGCCGGAATCCGGCAGCTAGCGGGAGCCCCACAACGTAACCAGGGTTTCCACTGAGAGGAACTGGCTTTGTGTTTTGCTGAAAGACAATGCAGAAATGCCCCCACATAGTTCTCACTTTAATGAGGACGCCGCAGGGGGGAAACGAAGTGCTTCTCATAATAAAATCCAGGATTACCGACCAATGAAACAATCTCTCCCCTACTCAGAACCAGAGCTGTACCTGCCGAAGGCAGGAGCATCCGCCGGTAAAGAACAAGCTCCCCGCAAGGACTCGGTCCCGGGGAAAGGACACAGGCCTCTGCCTCGTTCATTGTGAACCCCGGGGCTCTGCGCAAGCGTCGCTCAGCACGAGGGGGTAGATGCGGCAACACTTCCAAGCTGAGCGTCTTTGTTTGCTAATGAGCTAGGATTTCTTCTCACTTGGCAATGAAATACTTGTACAAAACGTATCACACTCACCTGGATGAAACGAATTTCAAACTTTTGCTGGAGTGGGAGCCCTGCGTGGCTGACTGTCCCCAGGAGCAGAGAGAGGTCAGCTTTTGTTATTTCACCTGCATCCGTGTATGTGAGACTGTACTTCACCTAAAAACAAGACGACACTCCGAAGTCACCTGCTCCTGTGACATTTCCGTAACTGGGTTAATAACTCTAACAAAAGATGTACAGGAGGCAGATGTTTTCCCATTTCTCCACTTGCTGAGGCCCTTCTCTCCTACGGGAGGCGTGATGTCAGTCAGCCTCACCCCTGCTGACGATCAGGGCCATGTGAGCCTCTCTGTACCCAGTTACATAAGCTCCAAGTCAGCCGGTCTGGGCAGGATATAAACAGTCTATCACCGCAGAGGAAACACTAAAACAAAGCAATGGCCCAAACGACAAATTGTGATGTGTTCTTGTAAGTCTCTGGGTTTGTGGAGAAAAGGGCCACATGATTATTTCAGAGACAGAGAAGTGTCCCCTGATGGGACAGCAGAAAGGCAAGCAGGAGGCCAGGCCAAGAAAAGCAACCCCACCGCGCGGGCCAGAGCCCCGTTGTGGAGGGCGTCCGGGCGAACCCAGGACCATGCAATCTGAGTCTGCCACAAATAGGTCAAGCTTACAAAGCCAAACTGGGCACCTACCTCCAGGACGACGTTGGTGCAGATTTTAACAGTCCCAGCCTGGACAAGAGCCTGCTCCAGTATACCCGTGTCTTCCAGCCGGGTGAGCGTTTTATTTAGAGACTGAACGACGATGGACTGGACAGTGATAGGGACCTGCGACATAAAGGAGGCCTGGATTACTGAGGACACCGCAACGGAGGTGAACAGGTTAATATAACAAAGCACTTGAAACAAACCTCCACTGATGCACTGCCAAGCAGGGGAAGCAGGCTACAGATCACTAGTCTATCGATACCCCCTGGGACAGCCACGGGAATGAAAGCGGCAGGGCGGGCTGGCTTCCTGCATGTCCCATTCAATCACATCCCAGCCCAGACTGAAGAACTAAAGCATCCTTAACAATAAAATCATGGGGCCATAACGTAACCTCTCACTGATGGGTCAGCAGACACTGACAATGGTTCCAGGCAATCATCAGGGGCTTCACTTAACGGGGATTCAATTTTTAATTCCTGAATCTCTAACAGACCTTGGAAGCTGCTTTAAAAAAAGAAAACTTGGGCCCTCGCTGGGTATCTCAGTTGGTTATAGCATCGTCCCAATATGCCAAAGTTGCGATTCAATCCGTGTTACACCCTAGGGAGAGCTCTGCCTGAGATTTCATTTGAAAAAGCCCCGTAACTAAAACAAGTTTGAAAACCACTTCACAGAAGAGCAAACCCAGGCCCACACACAGTAGTGTGAAGTTCAAAGTCACGCGCCTACTTCCTTTCAAATATCCACCTCAAGCACGTGTGTGTCCAGAGACTTAGTGACATCAGTGACGGGAGGCATCGCTGTCCTGAGTGCTTCCTGTGTGCCAGATGCCGCACAGGGCTCCTCATGTGCATCGAGGCTCATCACCCGCTTGACAGCTTGGGGGACTGAGGAGCATGGCACACAAGCGAGTCCTGGCAGAGCTGAGTTCTAAATACAGCAGACCAAGGCCACAGACCTTGGGAGACTACGACAAGGCCACGGCTGTATCACAGGCAGGCACGGGGCACGGACCCAACAATAAGAGGTGGGTCCACGCTCCGCCTCCCTGACAGATCCACAAAGAGACGCTGGCCACCCCCCCAGCCTGGCAGAGCCCTGGTCTGGAGCCGAAGGCTTGGAGAGCCTGCCCACGACTCGACCCCTAAGCTCCACTGAGATGCTCGGTCCGACCCGGGTGTGCCCACCCCTGGGGGAAGCGTCCCACTCTTCCGACAGCATCCTGGAGCTCACCAGCCCTCCTGACCGGAGACCAAGAAGCTATCCAGGGCCTCCGGCAAGCACAGGGTCAGTCACGCCGGCGTGTGACACAAAGGGTCGGCCAGGAGGGGTCTCCCCATTTCCCTTCTGCTTGCCTGCTGACCGGCGTTTTGTTCTTGGCAGTAAGGTCCCTTCTGATCATAAATATGTTATTTCCGAAGGCTCGGAGGGCTAAGAACGAAATTCCCATTAAAAAATAGTCTTACCTTTGTTTCTGAATTAGGTACCTAGACAGAAAGAAACAAGAGATTTTGTTGAATACAACAAAAGGAGCGTTTTTATTGCTTTTTTCAGGCTGTGGGTTAAAGGGCCTGTGCATCGTATTAAAGACTTCACAGAGGAAAATAGGACCCTCCATGGAGACCCGCCGTCTGCAGCTTTTTGTTTCGAGGTCATCATCTAAGAGGCACCTTTACGCTTCCTCCCACCCCCGTCTCCTCCGGAGCGGACGCTGAAGGGCCCGGCCAACAGCCAGGCCCAGGAGCCTCCAGCGTTAGCGCAATCCCAGGCGTTTCCACGCGGTCGCCAGTGACACAGCCCCGGGAGGGCGACCTGACCCGTCCTCCCTGTCACTCTCCCTGCACTGTGCTCACTGGCAGGACACCGTCTCTCTCACAGCCTCCCGCCTGGCCTCCCCGCCTCCTCAGCACAGCTCCCTTCTCTAATCACAGGCACCCCCTTTAGGCCACTGGGGCCTTGGGAGGGAGGTGAGGGGGCATGTTTGGGGAGGCCTGTGCCTGCAGGCCGGAGGGAAGACTTCCAGAAAACGGGGATGTCAGAGCACTGGAAGAACTCGCAGGCCTTGATGGCTGACTTATGAGGGGGAGGAGGAAAGGTTACACTTGATTCTGAAAACTGGAGCCCAGATGGATACTGGGGCCATGGACCCCCCGAAAAAGAAAATCAGGAGATCCTTTCACAATAATCATGTGGTTTTTAATCACTAAAAAACCCCACATTTTCTCCCCTTGCAGCCCCCTTGCAGTCATCTACCAAACGGGCCAGGGGCCTCTCTCATGTATTCAGGTCAGGCTCTGGTCACTGCCACCAGGAGGAAGGGGCCTCTTCACCACCTCTCCTGGTTGCTTATTTCATCTGCCAACCAAACAGTGGATTTTCTACCCTCTTTTGGTCTGTTTCTCAGTGAGATCTCTCCTTGGTGTTAATATGATTGTTTCTGTCACAGACATTAAGATGTTTTTACAATTTCTAAAGTTTTTGGTTATTAATGTCTTTTTTTTATTCAGGCGACAGACATTATTGGCTACCACCAAAATGAGTGAAAGCAGAGAGAAAAAAATTAATAAAAGCAAAATAACTACATAAAACTAACTAGATAAAAACTAACTAGATAAAAATTGAAATTATTTTACGTGATTTTTCCCTCCAGTGTGTTTGGTATCAGTCTACCAAAGAACTAGAGAAAATTTTAAATTTGAGTGTCAATCATGTACTGAAGTTATTCTACACTTGTCATATTTTAAAAGGGTACAAAGAACAGAAAACAAACCTAATGAATCAGCTTTGCTTCAAAATAATTCTTACCCTCAGAATTTCAGGGCTGCTGTAACGAGCCATGCTCAGGGCTTCCATCTCTTCACACTGTTCCAAGTCCATCCTCCTGGTGCACTTAACAGCTTGGTTCACCAAAAAGGCTGGGAGTCGTAACGTCCCCAAAGGGAAAAAAATTAAAAAGAGAAGGAAATTTTCAACTGTCCAATGGTAACTAAAAAATTGTAATCAAAGTAAAACTGCAAAATAATGGCATTATGACACAGATACACAACATGTTTAAAATAGGATTTAAAATTATTTTTCAAATAGGTAATATGTTTCAAAGCCACAAAAAGGTATTGAGAGAAGAAGTCTCCCTCGGGCCCCTGTCCCCCAGCCCCCCACAGACAATCAGCATGTATCTTTCTGGAAATATTCAATGCAAATAAAAACATGTTTATATATATTTTTAGTATTTCTTTCCCCTTTTGGAAACAAATGCACAATATATATTCTTCCCTTTGTTTTGTTCACTGAACCATATACCTTGGAGTTCAGCCTGTCTTGGAACATGAAGGGCTTCCTCTCCCTTTTTAAGGAATAATTAGTATTATATATAGATATGCCATAATTTATTCAACCAGTTCCCCATCACCAACGCTTAAGTTGCCTCGAGCTTCGCTCTTACAAACGATGCTACAATCTATCATTCTGCATGTGGGCCAGAGTATCTGTAGGACCAGCTCCTAGAAGAATGGCTGGATCGAAGGGCACAGTCATTTGCAATTTTTATACATGTTGCTAAACTGCTCTTCACAGAGGTTGTACCAATGTCCCACCAGCTACCCAGGTGAGTGCCCATGTTTCTTAAGCTCTGCCAATCCATTCAATGGAAATGGTACCTCGGCTCAGTTTTAATTTACACTGGTGCTGTTGCGAGCAAGGTCAAGCATCTTTTCAACAGAACACATTTTCCTTCACGTATCAAATGATGCTTCATCCAGCCACAAGCTCTATCGTCCATCACTTAGCTGGCTTCTTCCCGGTGAGGCTGCCTCAGGATGGGAGAGCCAGGCCTGCAGCCTCCCACCGCCAAGAGGATTGCTCCTCGGTTCTGTGATGCTCCTGAAAGGAGGGAGCGGCAGGGCCCGTGGGAGACAGCTGGGTGGGTCGCATCCAGGCTCCACCACCACCTAAGTGAGCCGAACTTTCCCACAACCGGAGGTGTTAAACAGCTGGGTGGGCTGGTTCAGGCTGGGAGTCCCCATCACAACAGGTACTCAAGCAGGGGCTGCCTGTGGAAGGAAAGACTCGGGCACCCAACTCCATAACCTCTGAGGCTGCTTTCAACTCTTAAGACTCTCGGTTTCTAGTTATGAAGTCTGTTTCATTGTGGCTACTACAAATTTAAACTAAACAAACTCTGTTTCAAGGAGAAAGAAAACTGCCCGCTCTCTCACCTGCAGGGTTATTGTCGGTGCACAGAGATGATGTAAGGGGGGAAGGAAATCTCAAAAATGAATGTGACGTCTGCAGAAGAGCCCCATACTGCAAAGAGAACAGCCAACAGTTGCCGTGATGTTATTAAGATGTTTATCCAACACTTACTGGGCACCTACTACGTGCCAGGCAGCATCTCAGGCATCAGGAACACAGCAATGAGCAAAAAAAACAGATAACTTACAATGGCAGGATATTTGCAACAGGCTGGACAGACAGGTTCTTGGCTCACCTCATATTTAGTAGTATCTGGGGGATCTGGTTCCTTTGTTAAAGAAACATCTGATGCTGCCTTTGATGAAAAACCATCAAATGTTTTCATAAACTTATCAAAATTGTTTTCATCGGGCTCTTCTGGATTAAGAAAGGATAATGCAGGTTTATCTGTTTTTTGAAAAAGCATTTTAAATCAGTATAAAATACATGTGTATTATATACAACATATATAATATTTTGAAACAGTTTTAGTAGCAATAAGACATGTGGAAAAAAATTAACTGTCTCTATATTTACTTCCCCCAGGATTTCTTGAATCTAATGAAATAATCAGTATCCTCAGGCCTGGCCTGTTTCTCCAACAGTGGGGAGCAACGGTTTCTAAAGCCACAGACAAACAGCGCAACAGAAGCCAGGAGTAATCAAACCGCTTTCTCCAGCCCATGGACCGAGGAGCCCGCTACATAAACCTCTAAGTGGAAGCTCTCCCCCGATAAAGACCCTGTGTCTGCCCTCACACAGCCACCTCCGGTGTCCGGGAGACTACGTGTTGTTCATGGGAAAGGCAGAAGGGAACAGGCTGGTAGGTTCACTGGGCTGGTGTTATGTCAGAGAACATGACAACGACTGACCAGTCACTACTCCAGGTTACAAATCGCAGAGCATACGCCTAAGTTTTCAGTTATAAGGGAACAAAACCAAAATATAAAGACATTCTGAAAAGATGATAAAGCTTAACCGATACAACTATAAATGTCTCTCTGATCTTTGATATTGCTAACATTTTGCACTTTACCTGTGATTTGGATCGAGACACCTATTTGAGCCAAACGCTCAGATAAAAATAAAGATCCTGTTTTCATGCAAATATTCTAAGTAAAAATAAAAAAGAAAAAAGGAAATTGAAACCAACCATTAAGCCAAGAGGAAATAAAGCAAAAAAAAAACCCTCAGTGTCTAAATAAATCTATATTCCTATGCATGTCTACATATCATAAACACTTTTGAAATAAGAGATCTCAAAAGTCAACTAAACAAGCAGTTTCTTTACTTGTAAAGAAAACGTGTGTGCCCACAGGTCTATAAAGTTACTTGCAGTTTCCTGTGAGATGGCCTCAGAAGATACACCCTAGCCAGACCACAGAAAGATTGCTTTAAATCTAACTAAATTGGACATTTCCCCATATATAAGATCTTTTAAGAAAAAAAATTTTAGAGTTTCACAAAGTGTATCCAATACTTACAGTTTGTAATATGAATGCAGAAAATAGATGGATTGATCTGGTCGACAATTTTAAATACTCTCTGAGGTGGGTTTGCTGTAAAATTCAATGAATAGATGGCTGCTTTTTGGCTACAAAACTGACTATCACCCCTGAAAAAAAAAAAAAAATACAAAGTCTTAAGGCATGTGCACACAATCTGTGTATTATGTTAACTTGTACCGTGTGCTATGTTAACTACTACATGGAGGATACTTACGAAAGTGTGATGTTAGAACTGAATCCCTCTCCCATCTGACTGGAATTAAGTTTATAAATTACATTCTTAAAACTGAATTGAAATGTTTACATAATTATTCTATCTCTGAATATGTTGGTCCCATCCTGAATAAATTAACTTCTTTAAGTGCTGCTGTTTTTTCAAAAAGCTTTGAAATCTGAATTACGAGAAACAGATCTCTCAGAAGAGATTCTTTTTTTACCCTGTAATAGGCTGGGAATGTCATTTTCTATCACAATGTGAACTGTGAGAATTCCTGGGAGATTTGCGTAGCAGAAAAGTATAAACAAAGCTTTCCTGACTATCTACTTAATTTATTGTTACAGGTACTGAGTCCAAAACAAAAGCTGTAAAATTAAACTGCACCTTTCACTCTAGGCTATAAATAACACTAATTCACTGATACAAAAATGTGAAAAATTATACTCTTTAAAAAGTATACTCTCTCTACTCTTTTGTCTGCACTGTCACCTGGCTGGATGCAAATAAGGGATAGATACTCTTCTACATGTTGGTTTGAATAGCATGGCCTCTGAAGGATGCAAAACTCAGGAAATCAGGTTTCATCCAATGTTATCAAAACTGCATGTGTCACAAACTTACGTGACCACTGGAACTGAGCAATCAGAAAAGACACTGAAATCCACCGAGCTGCAATCGGGATCACAACAGCAGTTGACGTCACACTGTGCTGGAGACAGGTCGCAGACACACAAAGCAGCAACTACAAGAGGAGGAAGGATGCAGAGCCTCACAATCAGCAGGTAGTGACTGCCCCCTGCCACTGCAAGGCACCAAAAACCCATTTCGCACAAACGTCCATCTGATTTTTTGCTACTGCACTTGGGGAGAAGTGAAAATTAGTCAGTTTGAGCGCTCCTCAGTCTGGGGTTTCCCCAAAGTGGCAAATCATCTGGCTCACTGGGAAAGCAGCTTGTGCTCTGCCTGCAAAGACCCCGATTTGGTACGCTGACTGCGAAACCCAGACATCTCCGTTGTTCAGAAATTTTCCAGTGCTGCTGATACTTGAGACAGGTTTAAGAACCAGCGTGCTAAATCACCTGCCCGGCCAGAAGCACCACCAGGGTAATGCTGCAGGTCCCCGGGCTCCTGATTCAGTGGAAGGACCGACCAGGAATCAGGGTTCTGTGCATCCTATGCATTTAATTTTCACAGCTGTCTAGAAACGGTCCGTTTAATTTCGTCTTTGGCTGCAAAGCTGCACGGACTTCATTCATTAGTACCTTTAGCATTAATGTTGTGCAAAGTACTTTCAAAGATCTGCTACTGTCCCACGGACCCCTCTCTGAGCCTCGGTTTCCTCGTCTGTCTGGCAAATAGCTGCGGCTCAGGGTGGTTGCGAGGATGCCTGGAAACCCTTGGGGATGCCTGCGCAAAGCACGTGCTCAATACGCCTTAACCATCAGCATCACGACAGCCTCCCGGGCTGCCTCCTCCGGGACGGGTCACTGTGGATGCCCCGGGTCCCACACCTGGTACCCACCGTCCGTGACCGGGGTGGGCCTGGGACCGGAGGAGGGCCTAGCGGGCAAGGCGGGTCGGGGAGTCGTCGGGGTTGGCTCCACGGAGTTGAGG